TTACGTATACTGTACTGTACTTGAAAGAGAGCGACCCGGCTCGACGTATTTACTGGTTTGTGAACCACTGCATGGGCAGAGTGTGGGGTGCATGGGGACAATCTGATTGGCTGAAGCCACGAGCTGGAGGTGATGGATATCTCTCACGTGAACTGTACTGTATTGTACTATACTGTACTGTACTACCAATATCAATGTGGGGCAATTGCTGTTTAAAATGTTATAACTTATACGGTAAAAGGTTTTCCCTATCAATTTTCATATTGTATGCTTTTAACGATGGCAACGAGCAATTTAATAAGTTGTAAAAACTAAACGAATGATCCATTGTGTTGAACGGTTTCTTGTTTACTTATGCAATCCACCATGTTTACTTTATACCACGTTATTCAAATCACTGGTGTCCTGTTTTGTCTGTCAAATAGTCCCACTCTCTAACTCATTCATTTGTCCCCTCAGTTGCTGGCTTGCTGCCCTCGATCCAAACGGGAACTTTGACTTCAAGCTGCCAATGTTTTGGGGGTTCCTGATCCCTGTGGCGTTCATTCTTATCTTCAACATGGTGGTGTTGGTATATTTTGCAGTTACAACATCCAAGACCAACCCACATATAACCAGGTAACATTAATGGGGGCATTTTGGGGGCACAAAGTGGAAAGTTGTAGTCATAAAGATCAGTCTTGATTTAAATGCCTACTAACGAGCTTGTTAATTTTGTATTGTCTTTCAATTAAAACTTTTTATAAATAAAATGCATGCTTTTTTTTATTATTAATTCAGTCATTAGTAACCAATTCATACTATTTAATGAGCACCATGCTCTAACCCACTCAGTCATTGGAAGCATACTGTTATATTACCACAGCATTACAGCAGTCTATGACAGCAATCTAAGCATGTTGGTTATATTTCCCAGTACAAGACACACATCGATGAAGAAGAAGTTCCTCAGTAGCTTTTCTCTGGCTGTGGTGCTCAGTCTCTCCTGGATCCTGGGCTATCTGTTGCTCATTACACCGAACCAGACCATGTACACCATACTCAACATCTCCTTCTGTGTACTCACCACCACTCAGGTAGTAAATGTATGCACTCACTACTGTAAGTCGCTCTGGATAAGAGAGTCTGCTAAATGACTCAAATGTTAAATATAAAGACTAGTGTACTATTGTACCACAGAATCCAGACATGATTGAAAACTAGACAGCTACTAAACATTAATAAATTCCGCTGCTCTTTATGGAAACGCTACCTTTTGTTTGTCCTTTTGTGTTCCTGAAAATACTTGATAATGTCTTTGTGTTTTCGTTCCACAGGGCTTGCAGGTTTTCATTCTGTTCACAGCAAGAACAGCAATTGTCAAGAAAATGATGTCAAGTGCTTTGAAATCTGTCTCTAGCGCTAGGATCCCTCTTCACACCAAGAAGTTCAGTCTATGGCGAGGCGAGCAAAGTGAAAAAGTAGAATCATACACACAGCAGGACACTGATCTGTCATTTCCACCTTGTTCCTCACAGACATCTAACTGATGGGCTGCAAGTTCAACCTCTGTTGGAAAATATCTCATATACCTCCACTATTGCCAATAACATACAGTATAATACACACCATTTTGAATCAATGTATTTTTACTGTGAATTCCCTCAAAGTTGTGTTGTCCAAGGATTTTTTGGCTATGCACATACTGTATATACATACTGTATGTGTTTTTTGAAATAACTGTTTTGAATAAAACTGTGATTATTCTCTTTGAATCGAATGTTTGTTTCAGTATTTTTTTGGAGAAATTACACTACTTTACACAATATCTCAGAAAATATCTTTAGACAGTGTAGCCTAGGGATGTCCAACTACATAATTTTCCCTGCGGGCCATGTTCGTTCTTTACAGAGGCCGCACTTTTAATGTATTAACCTTTTACTTCAGTGGGCTAAATCAGAGTCACACAGAGTGATTCTTGGTTGTCTTGTTAACAAATCTACTTTCAAACAAAAGTATACACCACACACACATGGTTATGGGCTTAAAAAGAAGAAGAAACATGTACAATGCCAGATATAGAGTTGAAATCTATGCCATTTTGAGTTTCCATCCTAATATTACACTTTATATACATCACAGAAGACTGAAATTTAACAAAACTGTTTGACATAGCAACACCAGATTTTCATCCTTATGAAACGAATGTCACGTTCGTTCATAGACGGGTCAGACCAAGGTGCAGCGTGATATGCATACATGTTTATTTGAACCGAATAAACACAACGACAAAACAACAAACTAAACGAAACGTGAAGTCCAATGTAGACACAAACAACATACCTCACACGGAACAACATCCCACAACCCACTAGTGCCAATAGGCTGCCTAAGTATGGCCCCCAATCAGAGACAACGAGCGACAGCTGCCTCTGATTGGGAACCACACCGGCCAACATAGATCTAGACATACTAGATCCTACAACATAGAACAAACACAACAAGGAATATACACACCCTGACTCAACATATAAGCGTCCCCTGAGTCAGGGCGTGACAGTACCCCCCCCCCCAAAGATGCGAACTCCGACCGCACAACATAAACATAACAGGGTAGGGGCCGGGTGGGCATTCCGCCTCGGAGGCGGATCCGGCTCAGGGCTTGACGACCTCTCACTCTTCACCTCCCTGTTGCGCCCCTGGTCTGGTCTGGACCTTGGCGCGCTGCTTCCCCTCTCCTTCCTCCCACGATACGCCAGGCCCAGTCTGGACCCTGGTGTGGGAGACCCCGAACCTGGAGAGGGGCTGACGTCATGGTCTGGACTGGAGCCGCTGACCGGAGCTGGACTGGGCACCGGTGGAGCGGACTGCTCTGGCTCCGGAGTGGAGCTGCTGACCGGAGCTGGATCAGGCACCGGTGGAGCGGACTGCTCTGGCTCCGGAGTGGAGCAGCTGACCGGAGCTAGATCAGGCACTGGCGGAGCGGACTGCTCTGGCTCCGGAGTGGAGCAGCTGACTGGAGCTAGATCAGGCACTGGAGGAGCGGACTGCTCTGGCTCTGGAGAGGAACAGCTGACCGGAACTGGATCAGGCACCGGTGGAGCGGACTGCTCTGGCTCCAGAGTGGAGCAGCTGACGGGCACGGGCGTGCCGGACTGGACAAACGCACCACTGGTCTGGTGCGAGGAGCAGTCACGGGCCGGACCGGACTGGCGATGCGCAACACTGGTTTGGTGCGAGGAGTAGGAACAGGCCAGGCCGGGCTGGCGACGCGCACCACTGGCTTGGTGCGAGGAGCAGGAACAGGCCGGGCCGGGTTGGCGACGCGCACCACTGGCTTGGTGCGAGGAGCAGGAACAGGCCGGGCCGGGCTGGCGCCGCGCACCACTGGCTTGGTGCGAGGAGCAGGAACAGGCCGGGCCGGGCTGACGACGCGCATCACTGGCTTGGTGCGAGGAGCAGGAACAGGCCGGGCCGAGTTGGCGACACACACCACTGGCTTGGTGCGAGGAGCAGGAACAGGCCGGGCTGGGCTGGTGACGCGCACCACTGGTTTGGTGCGAGGAGCAGGAACAGGCCGGGCCGGGCTGGCGACGCGAACCACTGGCTTGGTGCGAGGAGCAGGAACAGGCCGGGCCGGGCTGGCGACGCGCACCACTGACTTGGTGCGAGGAGCAGGAACAGGCCGGGCTGGCGACGCGCACCACTGGCTTGGTGCGAGGTGCAGGAACAGGCCGGGCCGGACTGGCGACGAGCACCACTGGCTTGGTGCGAGGAGCAGGAACAGGCCGGGCCGGGCTGGCGACGCGCACCACTGGCTTGGTGCGAGGAGCAGGAACAGGCCGGGCCGGACTGGCGACGCGCACCACTGGGTTGGTGCGAGGAGCAGGAACAGGCCGGGCCGGGCTGGCGACGCGCACCACTGGCTTGGTGCGAGGAGCAGGAACAGGCCGGACCGGGCTGGCGACGCGCACCACTGGCTTGGTGCGAGGAGCAGGAACGGGTTGGGCCGTACTGGGAACACGCACCACTGGCTTAGTGCGGGGAGCAGGAACGGGCCGGACCGGACTGGCGACACACACCACTGGCTTGGTGCGAGGAGCAGGAACAGGCCGGGCTGGCGACGCGCACCACTGGCTTGGTGCGAGGTGCAGGAACAGGCCGGGCCGGACTGGCGACGAGCACCACTGGCTTGGTGCGAGGAGCAGGAACAGGCCGGGCCGGGCTGGCGACGCGCACCACTGGCTTGGTGCGAGGAGCAGGAACAGGCCGGGCCGGACTGGCGACGCGCACCACTGGGTTGGTGCGAGGAGCAGGAACAGGCTGGGCCGGGCTGGCGACGCGCACCACTGGCTTGGTGCGAGGAGCAGGAACAGGCCGGACCGGGCTGGCGACGCGCACCACTGGCTTGGTGCGAGGAGCAGGAACGGGTTGGGCCGTACTGGGAACACGCACCACTGGCTTAGTGCGGGGAGCAGGAACGGGCCGGACCGGACTGGCGACACGCACCACTTGCTTGGTGCGAGGAGTGGGACTGGGTTCCTTTATTAACCCCCGCTCCTTCTGCTGCCTAACCAGCTCCTCTCGCCGTGCCTCTACACTTTCCTTCTCCCTTCTAGCCTCCTGTAGCGCCTCCCTCTGACCGAATAACTCCTGCTCCCTCTGAACCAATAGCCCCCGTAACATGGTGGCCTCCTCTCCTAACCTGCAGCTTCGCCCTTCCACGGCCTCCTGCTGCCTCATCATCCACCCTGTGTGCCCCCCCAAAAAATGTATTGGGGTTGCCTCTCGGGTCTCCGTCCTCGGCACGGTTGGCGCCGTTTCTCCTCTCCTACCTGGGCATCAACCTTCATCGCCTCACGATAACGGACGGCCTCCTCCTCAGTAATTATCCCCCAACCGAGGAGGACATCTACTAAAGTTACCTCCCGTTGAATCCCCAGCGTTTGCTCCTTCTGGGCACGCTGCTTGGTCCCTGTTTGGTGGGATCTTCTGTCACGTTTGTTCATAGACGGGACGGACCAAGGCGCAGCGTGATTTGCATACATGTTTATTTGAACCGAATAAACACAACGACAAAACAACAAACTAAACGAAACGTGAAGTCCAAGGTAGACACAAACAACATACCTCACACGGAACAAGATCCCATAACCCACTAGTGCCAATAGGCTGCCTAAGTATGGCCCCCAATCAGAGACAACGAGCGACAGCTGCCTCTGATTGGGAACCACACCGGCCAACATAGATCTAGACATACTAGATCCTACAACATAGAACAAACACAACAAGGAATATACACACCCTGACTCAACATATAAGCGTCCCCTGAGTCAGGGCGTGACAACGAAAAACATATTAATTATGAAATGATTAATAACATTCCACCCATGAGGCCAAAGAGGGCACTTTTGGTAATTGACTGCAGGAAAGGGCTACAAAGCTTCTACTCCACCAGCCTGTATAGCTCAGGCAACAAGCTCCAGCTGCCAATTACATCGTGTTAGTACAAGGCAACAAAGCAGGTCAGGCTCTGATGCTGCGGGAGAGCAAGGATGAGAGGGTTCGCCAGCCAGAGATCAAACAGGTATGACAGGCTCAGGAAGAAAGCAGGCATGTCAGAGGGAGGTATGAAAGGCTGAGGAAGAAAGCAGGCATGTCAGAGGGAGGTATGAAAGGCTGAGGAAGAAAACAGGTATGTCAGGGGGTGGTATGAAAGGATGAGGACTAAACCAGGCATGCCAGGGAGGTATGAAAGGCTGAGGAAGAAAGCAGGCATGTCAGAGGGAGGTATGAAAGGCTGAGGAAGAAAACAGGTATGTCAGGGGGTGGTATGAAAGGATGAGGACTAAACCAGGCATGTCAGGGGGAGGTATGAAAGGCTGAGGAAGAAACCAGGCATGTCAGAAGGAGGTATGAAAGGTTGAGGAAGAATGCAAAACATTTCTGCAGCATTGAAGGTCCCCAAGAAGACAGTGGCCTCCATCATTCTTAAATGGAAGAAGTTTGGAACCACAAAGACTCTTTCTGGAGCTGGCCGCCCGGCCAAACTGAGCAATTGGGAGAGAAGGGCCTTGGTCAGGGAGGTGACCAAGAACCCGGTGGTCATTCTGACAGAGCTCCAGAGTTCTTCTGTGGAGATGGGAGAACCTTCCAGAAGGACAACCATCCCTGCAGACGGAAGCCACTCCTCAGTAAAAGGCACATGATAGCCCGCTTGGAAGAAGGAGTAGCGATTACAGTGTCGTCCGGCTCATAGAAGGCACAGGGTGGCGAGTACCTGTCAGGTGAGCCGACAGCGATGTATTTTAGATATTATACTTCCTCACAGTCAACATTTGCTAAAGATAGTCCTCTATCCAGCGCTTTTGGAATTTTCCAGGCTGCCTGAATGTCTAGGTTTTGTTAAGATTACTTTTAGCAAGCTGGGCAGAGTGAAGAAACTATAAATGTTGATCCATTATCATTTCAACACAATTTCGATTTGGTTTGAGTCATTTCACTGTCGTTTGAGATAAAAAAATAAAAAAATAATCTGAAGAATAAA